TTTTACAGTGATTATGATTGTTGATATGATCGTTATTATTATCATTATTATTATCATTGTAGTTGTTGATGTTATTGTTGCTGTTGTTATTTATTATTATCATCCTTATCCATATTATTTTTTTATCATTATCTTTCTTATCCTTAGTAGTATTATCAATATTATTGTTATAACTATCATCATTATCATTATTACCATTATTATTATCATCATTATCATTACCATCATCACTACTAATTTTTCATTGCTATTATTAAATTTATGAATAACATTATCATAATGATCATTATCATTATCTATAGATATGCTTCTCTATAAAAAAAAGTTATGAATAAGAATGAATATCTTCACAATACAAGAGATGTATTTAACCGGTTTGGCATGTATCTTTGTCAGAAATACATGTCAGATGTATTCGAAAATATATATTCAAAATATATCTTTTGTTTAGTGAAGTTGTTTATTCTCATTCATACCTTTTCTACGTTTGTCTTTTTGATTATCATCATTTTTGTTATTACTACTGTTATAATTGCTATCATCGTCCTTATAATTATTATCATCATTCTGTTATCCTTATTATAATTATTACTATCATCATAAAATATATAGCAATCATTATTGTCATCATCATTGGTATTATTGCTGTTATCATATATCATATTATTATCATCATTGGTATTATTGCTATTATTATCATTATTATTATTATCATCATCATAAACGTTATTATTGTTATCATCATCATCATAAACATTATTATTATCATTATCATTATCATTATTATCATTATTATTATCATTATCATTATATTATTCATTTCATTATCATATTATCATATCATTTATTATATCATTATTATTATCATTATTATTATCATTATTATCATCATCATCATCAAAATTACTATTATTATTTTTACAATTATCCTTGTTGTTATTTTTATTGTCATTGTTATTATTTTTGTTAGACGTATTATCATTATTATTTACATTATTATCATCGTTATTATTATTATTATTATTATTATTATTATCATTATTATTATTATTATTATTATTATTATTATCATCATTATTTTTATTGTCATTATTTGTATAATCTTTATCATTATCATTCTTGTTGTTTTTTGTTACTGTTATTACTATCATTTCTATCATTATTTTTATCATGATTACTATATTATTTTCATTATTATAATATCATCATCATTAAGATTGTTATCCCTTTTATCATTAATTTTTAACATTATCATTAATATTATTATTATTATTATTATTATTATTATAATTATTATTATTATTATTATTATTATTATTATTATTATTATTATTATTATTATTATTATTATTATTATTATTATATTATTATATTATATATTATTATTATTATTATTAATATTATTATTATTATTATTATTGCTATTATGATTATTATCACTATGATTATTACTATGATTATTATCATTATTATTATTATTATTATTACTATCTTTACTATTTTCATTGTAATTATCTTTACTACTATGATTATAACAACCATTATTATCATTATCAATATTACAGTTATGTTGTTGCTATCATTACTATTTTGATTATTATCATTAACACTATTATTGATATTATTATAGTCATTACTATTATTATTATTATTTTCATTATCATTATTATCATCATTATTATTGTTGCAATTACTACAAGTAGTAGTAGTGTTATTATTTCTGTGGTTGTTGCTATCAACATGATGATGATAATTATTACCATCATTATATATAATCATATAATCATACATAATGATATATAATCATTGTTATTACCGTTATTACTATTGTTATAATTATCATAATTATCACTTTTACTATTATCATTACATATACCATTATCCTTATCATCCTTATTATGATCATCATTATCATCATTATCATTATTATCATAAGCATTATGATCATTATCATTTGCATTATTATTATAATTATTTTTACTGTCATGATTATAATTATTTTTTTATTTTCATTATAATCGTTATTATTACTGTTCTTATCATCATTAAGATTATCAAAGGTAGTAGTTTCATTATCATTATTGTTATGATTATCATAATCATTATTATCGTCAATATCATTATGATTGTTATTGTCACCATTATGATTATTATCCTTATTATCGTTATCATTATTATTACCATTAGGATTGTTACTATCATATTACTTGTATTAGTA